TGTGCTGGGAGGTGCAGCAGGTGGACAAGAGTCTCAGTGATAGGCTCAAGGGTGCCAGCAGTCGGGGGGCTGACGCCAGACCAGGCGCCATTTCATTCTGTTGTACGTAAGGTCACCCACCATGAGGAAGAGTCAGCCTGACATCAGTCAGCCATCTCTCCACCTACCTAGGTCCACATCTCTCCATCTACCTACCTACCTACCTCCCCATCTCTCCATCTACCTACCTACCTACCTCCCCATCTCTCCATCTACCTACCTACCTACCTCCCCATCTCTCCATCTACCTACCTACCTCCCCATCTCTCCATCTACCTACCTACCTCCCCATCTCTCCATCTACCTACCTACCTACCTACCTCCCCATCTCTCCATCTACCTACCTACCTCTCCATCTCTCCATCTACCTACCTATCTACCTACCTCCCCATCTCTCCATCTACCTACCTACCTACCTACCTCCCCATCTCTCCATCTACCTACCTATCTCCACATCTCTACATCTACCTACCTACCTATGTCCCCATCTCTCCATCTACCTATCTACCTCCTCATCTCTCCATCTATCTACCTGTGGTGACTGGGAGGGTGAGTGCTCTGAGCCGAACTGGAACCTCCCCTCTGTGATGTCTAGGAGCTCAGGTCAAGAGGCAGGGCAAAGGGGCAATTTTACAGTTGTGTGGGGTAGGATGTGATTGGGGCCATCCATGCAGGTAGCGAGTCCAGATGGTGACCCCTCCCCTTCAAGGCTGAGCAATTCTGTCGGGGAGGTGGGTGAGGGGCCTTGGCACTGGGCCTCCCTCGATGGGCAGAGAGGAGCCTGCGGGCCCGAGCCAACAGGACCAGCAGGAGAAGGTGGCATGTGTAAACATTCTCCCTCAGTCCAACAGGCTCCTTGCCAACAGCTAATAAATGTACAAAAATGCAAAGACAGGGCACTGGTCCCCTTGACCTCCGACTGTGCCTGACCAACGGCCAACAGGACTGTGCCCGGCCCCTCCCCAGGTCCCATCTGCCTGCTCACACCTCCCTCTGCTCCAGCGCCCTCCGTGCCCCCCTGGCCAGCCCTTTCCTTTCTCTCGGATTTGTCAAAAAGCCCCTCTGCCAAGCCAAGCCGAGCAGGGTGCCGGGGCACCCGGGGGCAGGCCCAGGGGCTGTCTTCTCACCTCACAGGGGGCCAGGTAAGAGAAACCCCTAAAGCTCCTAAAACCATGAGGAGGTGGTGTCTGGAGGGCTGAACGTCCCCCCAGCCCAGGTCCCAGGGTGGGCAGCCGCTTGGCTGGAGCCCCGGGCCAAGCACTGCACCCCCAAGTCCTCTCGTCCCTAAGGAGCCCTGTTGGCCCAGTGGCTCTGCAGCTCAGCTGCCGACGGAAAGGGCAGTGGTTAGAATTTACCGGCTGCTTAAGAGAGAACGGGGTGGCAGTCTGCTCCCATCGAGATTACAGCCTCGGAATCCCCATAAAGCCAGAGCACCAAGCTCACCGCCATCGATCGGGTCGATTCCAACTCATAGCCAGCCGGTGAGGCAGGTAGAACGACCCCTCCGGGTTTCTGAGATTAACGCTTCAAGGGAGGCGAAGGCGGTGGTTTCAATCTGCCGGCTCTGTGGTCAGCAGCCCAACTATCCGCCAGGGCTCCTTGGAAGCCCTCTCCGTGGTTCTCCGTGGTTCTCCAGGGTTCTCCGTGGTTCTCCATGGTCCTGTGGGCCCCTATGACTTGACTTCACTCAGACGCAATGAATTTAGTTTGGTTTTTAAACTCACACCCCTGCCTCCTGCCTGGGGGAAAGGATTCGTAGTCTCAGTAAGGGGAAGCAGGTGGGCAGTCACGGAGCTCAGTGTGTAGAGACTGGGGTCCAACCCTAACCCCAGGGGGCTGAGCTGTGTGCAGTCTAGTGGTGGGGAGGAACTGGTTTTTGTGATCACTCATCCATTTGTTTGTTTGTTTTTTAATCATTTTGTTAGGGGCTCATACAACTCTTATCACAATCCATACA